GGACAGATTCTCTCACACCTGGGAAGAATTTCATTTTTACCACATTTATTAATTTTCCTTTCATACCTACCCGTGTCCACCATTAAACAATGATTACTAATTCTGAATTTTGTGAGAATTACCCGATTGTCTTTCGGTTTTTCATATTCAAGTATTTTTCAAAATAAAAAGACCTTTTATACTTAAAATATGTATTTAATTTACCAAAGCCTTCCAAATAATTGGTACGAATATCGTTCCAAATGTTTAAAAAGTTTTTACAGTCTGGAAGAAGAAAAGAAGGCTAGACATCTTAAACAATGAAGACAGCAGGTAAATTTATGTATATACTGAGCATTACAAAAATATCAAGATTAACCAATGCATATTTTCTTAATTTTATTTGCCTTATACACAGAACCGGTAGTGGTCAGTGGTGACTCCTTATCAAATCAAGCGAACTATACCTTTTGACAGTTTAACTTTCTGACCAATGAATGAATTATTTTTATTAATAAAATGAATTTAAAGCATATAAAGATTACTTGCTGATACAGCTGAACTCCCCCCCCCACCCCCCCCGAAATATAAATGTCTATATAGGGATTGTATAAAATCTGTGCCATTCAGTAGGTTTACTTTTTATGATATGCTGAGAGAGACTTTTAAGTGAACATTATTTATCTTTATAATATAAATTTCCACTTCTGTCAGTTTTCATTCATTGTTTATCCTATTATTTCATTTCTTTATTGGCATAAGCATACTGATAAGGCACATATTTTACAGAATTGTTTTGTTAAAATATTAAACTAGAGCAAGTTTGTTTCTATAAGAAAAAGTGCATCAAAAGTTTATAATGTGTGTTCAAATTCTTTGACAAAGTTTGTTTTGATCATCTGTCCTGAAATTGTTAAAAATATTTCAGTTTATCTAAATTTAAACCTCGCTTATTTCTTCTTTTTTTTTTAACAAAATTTTTAAAATACCTGTCCAGTAACAGAACAATTCTTATACTACATGTAGAATAAAGAAAAAAACTTTCTAAAGGATTACATATACATTTAATTAGCTTGAAATTGGTGTATATTGGAAAGATCAGGAATTATTCACCATTGCAGGTTCAGAAGGGATGCCATATTTCAGGTTTGAAACCAGGCAAGTGAAAACTGAATTCCAACCCACTTCAACATACCGGTACTTGTACCCACTGTCTTCAAGATATCAGTGTTTGAGATGTCAAAGTTCAAATATAATAGGAACATGTTTATGATATTATGTGATGGCATCCTCAAATCTTATGCCGTATAACAATATGTTTTAGAACTTATCAAGTTTTATCCTGTACCTAGCCAAAAAACTCAACTCAGCATAATTCTCATTAACTAATTGTCAGTGTTACTTGCGTATGTCAATGTAGGTCATTACCGGTACATGCCTGACCAACAAAAACTCTAAAGTGGAAAATCCAGAGACAAGGTTTTCAAAGCAGCAGAAACAGTAAAATTTTGGTCATGTAAATCTAATGTTGTGTAGTTGAGAATAAATGTACCCTAAATGTTGCATCTATAAAAAATAAACAAAGCGAAATGTTCTCTTGTTTTCAGAATTTATTTACAGGTGAAAAAAAAGAAAAGGAGATTGATATAGTTGGTGTGATGAGATGTTGGCAGGAACCTAGTAAAATGAAAGGAAGAACTTCCTTAAAATGATACTTGTGGGGGACAGTGTCTCAAGGGGGGGGGGGGGAGGGCATTGTTTCAACTGACTTTACAGAATACAAAAGATCCATTGCAAACCTAATTATTAATTATATGCCAAACACTATGTATAAAGTTTTCCATTGTTGGATATTTATGTTTAAATCCAAGATAACTTACCCAAGAGGATGTGATTTTTTTTTAAACCAATGTAATTTTTCTCAAGTTTAAAGCCGTGTTTCATAAGTTTTAAAAGAAAAAATCAGAAGGGGGGGGGGATAAATTTTTGACTTTATTCAAAGTATTCAAAGGTTTGCAGTTGCCCATGAATTTAATAAGTATATAAAGTAACAAGTTGAAATGAGTAAAATATTATGAATGTCCTGCTTGTTTTAGTTTCATCTCAGAATTTTTCAAGTTTGACCAAATCTTGAAAAAGGAAAAGCCACAAGGTTTTGCAATTATTTGACACAGCATTACAAAATGCATTATATTTTTGAAACATCATAAAGATGCAAATTTAAAATGCCAAAAAATTTAGTTCACATTCACATTTAATTCATTACGTAGGTTTCATAAAAGAGTAAAGAAGTGTAGTTTTGGGAATATTGTTAAATGCAGGCATTTTGGTTAAAAATCTGGTATTCCTGTCTCCATGGTAACAAATCTTGCATTCCTGTTTCCATAGTAACAGAGAATGGATAGGGAAAATTTTATTTCATATTAGTTTCAATCTAAGAGGGATAGTTTCAGGAAACTTGAAACATGCCCTGGTTAGTCTACATGTACTTCAAAATTGTCAATTTTACGGAAGGGGGGGGGGGGGCATTTTGTGCAGGTGTTCACAGTTCTCCTATATATGAACAGATTTACATGTATTAATGCTCTTGGAAATGGGATGTGAATATTTTTACATGACACTTCTCCTAGATATTGACTAATTTTACTGTAAATGACATAAAAACAGGTAGAAAGGAACATTTCTTTTTCTATATGAACTTAATGAAATGTGCATATGTTCCTTGAAATACGGAAATTTTGCAAATTTTGGGTAATTTTTCATCAGCTTTTTAAAAAAAATATTTAAATGTCCCATAAATATTTTAATGTGTTTAAACTAACTTATATACCATCTATACAATGCACTGTTTCATGAATTTCAAATCAGTGTGCAAAGTATTAAAAAATCGCTTTGAAAAAGGGTCTAAAATGGTAATTTTCTCAATTTGGCAAAATGCCAAAATCCCCAAAGATAAGCATTGTTAAGCCATTGTGTAGAATTACAGTTTTTAAAAAATTATGTTGTTATACTAAAGAGGAATAATAGTAGTTTTGAAACAAAAGTAGATTTTCCCAGTCTCTTGTTTCTTTTAAGCTCATTTTTATTCAGTAAGACCGACAAATTCACATTTTTGGGTCAAATTTTAAGTAGAATTTACAGAGGAAACAATAGGTGCCGTTACCATGACAACGAGACATTTTTTGAAATAAAAAAATATAAAACCATTAATGATGTGACAATGTGAGTACACACAAAAAGTTTCATTAAAATTGAAAATGTAGCGTGGCCAAGCATTATTGATATTGTTTGATAATTACAGAGAATTGATATTAAAATTCTTTGGGACAAGACCTTTAATTTGGGTACCACCATATTTTACCTCTTAATCTCTTGACCTTGGAGTGTGACCCAGTTTACAAGAAAAATACCAAACTTTAAACTTGGTGCTAGGGCTTTCATGCTTAAAATGTGTAGTCATTGTGTTCTTTCAACAGGTATAAATATTTTTGACCTTGACCCTAGAGTTTGATCCACTTTAAAAAAAAAGTTAAACCTTGGCAATAACTTTTAAACAGGAAGTACTAGGGATTTCTCTCTTATTTCACATGACTTGTATATTCCTTGAGACAAGACTTTCCTTTTTATACCAACAACTTTGATCCTTTGACCTTGGAGTTTGACTTACATTTGAGAAACTTAAACTTTCGCTAAAAGCTGCCGTACGGGGCATCACAAACACATCTTGTCTTTGTTATTTTAAGGGGTGGCATCTCCATATGAGTGAAAAATTCCCAATAGAGATGTTTTCACAACAAACAAACAAATTATTTAAAAAAAAAAAACACACACACACAGTGTACATGTACATGTTTTATATTCAACAGATATACTTCTGTTCATATCTCTTAAGTTCTCCCTTGAATCACAAATGATGATATAAATATTTTAAAATAATTATTTTTAAAGTTGAAAAGGTTAATAGTGTACATTAAAATTGACTAAGCTCTGTGGTAGAATTAGTTATAACAGTTTAGCTTTATTTTGCTACTCAATGCACCTTGATTAACTATTTTCAATCATATACTTTTATCTGAAATGTGCAGTTTTTTCAACACTGTACATGTCATACATTTTCAGCTTCTCAAAAAAAATGCATGAAAAAAACCCAGCTTTTCAGAAACTGTAACCCTTTCCACATAGTTGTGAATCATAGGTTTTTAGCTCCTTTAGCTTTCCTGGTTTCTGTATAAAATATATGAGTTCAGGGAAGACGGGGCATTTTTGCATTAAAAAACGTCATTTTTCGACCCCCATTTGACCCCCCATGGCAAAATAAAAATTCCGAAACCTTATTGCACATCTACATGAACCACCGACCATCTCCCAAAAGATGATTAGGCTACTGAGTAAAATATATGAGGAGTTCAGGGAAGATGGGGATATTTGCATAAAAAATGCCATTTTCGACCCCCATTTGACCCCCCGGGGTAAAATCAGAATTCCAAAACCTTACTCCACATCTACATGACAACACCAACCATCTCCCAAAAGATGATTAGGCTACTGAGTAAAATATAGCTTTTCTGGCCCAGTGGTTCTTCAGTAGAAGATTTTCAAAGATTTTTCCTATATATTTCTATGTAAAACTTTGATTCCCCATTGTGGCCCCCCCCCATACCCTTAGGGGTTATGATTTGAACAATTTAGAATCTACACTACCCAAGGATGCTTCCACATAAATTTCAGCTTTTCTGGCCCAGTGGTTCTTAAGAAGATTTTTTAATGACCCCAACCTATTTTTGTCTTTTCTTGATTATTTCCCTTTGTGAGGGGACTTGGCCCTTCATTTTAACAATTTAGATTCCCCTTTACCCAAGGATGCCTTGTACTAAGTTTGGTCAAAATTGGCCCAGTGGTTCTCGAGAAGAAGTCAAAAATGTGAAAAGTTTACAGACAGACAGATAGATAGATGGACGGACAAGGGACAAAATGTGATCAGAAAAGCTCACTTGAGCTAAAGATATATTTTACTTTGATACCTTTTACACTTAAACTTGTAAATGGTCCTTTACTATAGAATCCAATGAAACTAAGAGAGGCGAAACAGGAGTACATCTTTCCCCCATCTTCCTTGGCTATATTTGTGAAGTGTAAGTTGCCTGAAATGACAATGAGTATAAATAATAATCAATAATCGTATAGCTTATAGATAAGTCTATAAAAAACTACTAAAACTCTACAGACTTTAAGAGTTTAATATGTTGCCATTTATTTGAAAAATTACAATTTTTTTTCAAGTGCATATTCCAAGTTTTCTTATGCCTTAATAGACTAGAAATATGTCCATAGGACATGAATGCCGCGCCGAGGATATATTAGTAAAGCAACATGAAAATTTGTATGTGTATAAAAGAACTGCGAACGATAGTATTGTTCTCCCGCCTACCTCCAAGTCAAAATTTTTAAAAGTTAACATATTCGATGAATTTTTAATATTTTTTAAAGATAATTGTATGGATTTTCATAAAATATTACTTATTTGGGAAAACAAAGAGAGATAACTCTAAAATTTTGGTAAAACTTGTGTTTTTCACTATAGAAATCAACGGAAAACAGAAAATATTTTTAAAACATCTCCCCCCCCCCCCCGTGTCACAAAAATTCCTTCTTACAGGTGGAATGTTATTTCACAAATTCATACCAAAGCTTTTTGTGTGACACGGGGGGGGGGGGGGGGGGGGGGACATATATTTATTGACAAAAAACAATAATAATGCTTATTTCCCACCAATTTAAAAGCGATTTACAACTGAAACATTTTATTTTATTGATATCTTTATGTTTTATTTATTTGCCTAAAACATAAGAAAAGATATAAGAAACATTTAATTATATCCAAGACTATTTCAAAATATGGTGATGCTTGAAACTCCGATTTCAATGGAAAATATCATCTACCCCCCTTTTTTCAAGAGCTGGAATTATGGATAATTTCCTGTTTAGCGCTGATATTAAGACAATTCATCAATTACCATTGAACTGTTCTTTGTATTAAATAAAGATTTTATGATCAAATTGCTATCTATATTAAATTAAATGGTTCCAAAATGTAGGCAGGAATCGAGAGTTAGCGTGCTTATTTCTTTGATCAGAATATCTTGAATAGTGATGCAGCTGAATTGCTTACATTAGTATGTATCAGCATATGAAGTTTGACACTAATTTCATTAAAGTGAGGTCAAAGTCAAAGGAAATACCAAGGTCAAAAACTGTTGATTCAGTTGAAAAGCTCTCATAAGTAAGTATCGGCAAATGAAGTTGAAAATATAATTATAAATGGTTTCTTTAAAACTGACTTAAACAAAAATGGATAAAAGTGAGGTCAAGGTCAAATGAAAGGTCAAGCTTAAAAATGATGATATGATGATACACTTGAAATGCTCACCTCAATATCTATAAGCTGATGACGTTTGACACTAATTTAGGAAAAGTGAGGTCAATGTTAAAGCAAAGGTTAAGGTCAAAAATGTTGATGCAGTTGCATATCTCTCATCAGTATGAATCAACATATGAAGTTTGATAAAAATATCTAGAAATGATGTCTTTAATAAAACATAGGTAATCAAAGATTAACAAGCTCACCTTGATGAATATTATCAGTGTAAGTTAAATGCATATCTCATATCATATTTTCTTAATATTTAGTATTTATCCTAACAACATATTCTTGAAAGTTGTGTTTAACCCCTTACATGGCATATACACATTTCTACACATGTAGTGTGAAACTTGTATAGTGTGAACAAATATTCATAACTTTGTTAATACTGTAGATATCAAGAACTTCAAATTCATTGGGATTGATATGTTCCCAAAACTTTAACCTGGTCTCATGTTTGGAAAATATAGGTCAGATCCAGCATCCGAAGCAAGTCTGGTAGTGTCCATCCCTAGATGCATCATCCATGCAAGTTTGGTTCAGGTAGGGCTTATAATTACTTGGGAATGAAAATATAAGTCAGATCCAGCATCCGAAGCAAGTCTGGAAGTGTCCATCCCTGATGCATCATCCATGCAAGTTTGGTTCAGGTAGGGCTTATAGTTACTTGGGAATGAAAATATAGGTCAGATCCAGCATCCGAAGCAAGTCTGGTAGTGTCCATCCCTAGATGCATCATCCATGCAAGTTTGGTTTAGGTGGGGCTTATAGTTACTAGGGAATAAAAATGTACGTCAGATCCAGCATCTGAAGCAAGTCTGGTAGTGTCCATCCCTAGTAGTCTGAAAAATCTGACGTTTTCCTGGCTTTTTACGATTTTGATATTTTACATGCCAGGAAAACGTCAGAACCGGCGCCATTACAAAAACTGGGAATTCACCGCCTCCAACCGGAAGCGGCATTCTCAGGTTGATTTTAGATACTTGCAAACTGAATTAAATGCTTAATTCACATTTTATCAATAGTACAATGTCTTTAGTACTCATCAATATCGTTTTTATGGTTTGTTTATGAAATAATATAATCTCCCTTACAGAAAAAACTAATAGAAACTTATAAGTGTTTTATAATCCACTTATTAGCAACTTATAAGTCACTTATAAATTTTGAAATTTACTTATAAGAGTACTATAAGTCAAAGTAAGTATAAGTGAGGAATGGATTTCGTTAATACTTCACTTATAAGTAAAGATGAGCTACATATCAGTGAATGTTTCACTTATACCTCACTTATAAGTGAAGATCAGTATGGTATGAGCGAAGTATAAGTGTGGACTTAGAATTTTTACCCTATACTAGACTTCTCTCAAGGAGCATTATGGGTATTCAAGGTAGCCAATCAGAGAGTTTGTCTCTGCAGAGATCAGCAACAAGAATTTGAAACCAAGTTTGTGTCTGTGAAAGGATGTTGGAGATTTTAGATTTATTTTGAGTATGCCTTCACATCAGGTACAACAAGTAGGTTCTATTTACATCATCTCTCTCTTTTAACTTCCTTTGCCTGAAATTTTGAATCAATTGACTCAGTTGCTTTCAGATTTCAAAAATTTGAAGAAGCCTCAAGGTCATTAAATCTTGTTGCCTTTTTGTTCAACATTTTTGTTTGTAAACTGAATTAATATGTTAAGTTTGCATCATCAAAGAAATGTCACATGAAAATGATTTTTTTCCATAAAATTTTTACTTGATTATTTCATCTACAGTGCAGATACATGTGTATATGTAAAAAAAATAGCTTTGAACATATCATGCATGGTTGGAAGTTCTGTTCTAAATTAAGATCTACAGTGCAGATACATGTGTATATGTAAAAAAATAGCTTTGAACATATCATGCATGGTTGGAAGTTCTGTTCTAAATTAAGATCTTACAGGTAGTGTTGTACTTCCCTTATAAGTCACTTATAGTCACTTATAAGTGACTAATACTTGATAAAGTATGAGGGTTAATGCTTGACTTATAAGTCACTTACAGTCACTTATAAGTGACTATACTTTCATAAAGCATAAGTGGCTAATACTGGCTTATAAGTCACTTATAGGTCAAGCAGCTCATCTGCATATAAAATCCTAATGAGTAACATATTAGTCACTTATAAGTTAAATGTATCAGTGAAGTGTAAGTCCAGAATAAACAACTTATAAGTAAAAGAATAAATCACTTATAAGTCACTTATCAGAAATTTCTGTAAGGGGGCCGATGAAAACATTTTATCTGACTGTCGAGATTAAAATTTTCATTTCATGCATTTTAAAATCTTGCAACTTCGGATTGGAGTATGGAGTGGTGAATTCTTTTCATCGATATTGGTGAGTTCTAGGAGCATTGTGCCATTGATAAATTGTAATTTCTGCATCTAATTCGGTTCCCAAGTATAGAAAATCAACTCTGGGTCGAGACGGTGAAATTTCCAGTTTTCGTAATGGCGCCGGTTCTGACGTTTTCCTGGCATGTAAAATATCAAAATCGTAAAAAAGCCAGGAAAACGTCAGATTTTTCGGACTACCATTCCTAGATGCATCATCCATGCAAGTTTGGTTCAGGTAGGGCTTATAGTTACTTGGGAATAAAAATATAGGTCAGATCCAGCATCTGAAGCAAGTCTGGTAGTGTCCATCCCTAGATGCATCATCCATGCAAGTTTGGTCCAAGTGGGGCTTATAGTTCCTTAGGAATGGACCTACTCCAAAGACTTTAACCTGGTCACTCATCTGGAAAATGTAGGTCAGATCCAGCATCCGAAGCAAATCTGGAAGTGTCCATCCTTAGATGCATCATGCATGCAAGTTTGGTCAAGCATAGTTCCTGGAAGTCACTCATTTGGAAAATGTCCATCCAGCATCCGAAGCAAGTCTGATGCATCATGCATCATGCGTGCAAGTTTGTATCAGCATGTGAAGTTTGATAACACCATCTTGAATGGTATGTTTAAAACTGAGCTAAACACTAATTTAAGAAAAGTGAGGTCAAGGTCAAAGAAAAGGTCAAGGTCAAAAAATGTGGATGCAGTTGCATAGCCCTCATCAATATCTATAAGCATATGAAGTTTGATGAAAATATCTTGGTTAGTTTTTTGAAACTTAGCTTTGAAGAGAGCTAAACACAAAGTGTGACGGAAGGATGGATGGACAGATGGACGGAAGATGGACATGACAAACACTATATGCCCCGGCCATATTTATGGCAGGGCATAAAAATAATCATGCCAAGCGTAAGAGCATAAGGGTTACATGTACATTTTAGATAACATACGAGGGCTGTTCAATAAATAATGTCCTGAGCTCTATGACATATAACATGTATATAATATGACATAAAGCAGATTTAAGCTTGACTTTCCCTCACGATTGAATCTTTAATGAATTGAAATCAGTTTACATGACCATTTTTCCTCTCATATTTTCTTTGGGAGAAGTTGGAAAACAAGGACTATTTGAGACACTGCGTTAAAAACCACAAGTCTCTGCTGAGACTGTAACTCTACTGGTTTGTACTTAAAATAAAGGAAGAGAAAAGTAGCAATTGGGATTTTAAAATCAGAATCTCATAAACAGAAATATGAATCTTAGTGTCGTCTACTTGTGTGCCAACCCTTACAGAAATTTCTGATAAGTGACTTATAATAAGTGATTTATGCTTTTACTTATAAGTTGTTTATTCTGGACTTACACTTCACGGATACATTTAAATTATACGTGACTAATAAGGTACTCATTAGGATTTTATATGCAAATGAGCTGCTTGACCTATAAGTGACTTATAAGCCAGTATTAGCCACTTATGCTTTATGCAAGTATTGTCACTTATAAGTGACTATAAGTGACTTATAAGTCAAGCATTAACCCTTCATACTCTATCAAGTATGAGTGATCTTTAAGTAAGATATAAGTGAAGTACAACACTACCTGTAAGGCCTTAATTTAGAACAGATTACTTCCAATCATGCAGGGATTGCATGATATGTTCAAAACTTTTTTTTGTACATATACATCTGCACTTTAGATGAAATAATCTTTAACCTTGCCCATAACTTTTGATTTAGTGGAGCTATGACTTTTACATTTCACATGTGTATTCTTTGTGACAAGACCTTACTTATGGTACCACCAAATTTGACCTTTTGACCTTGGAGTTTGACCCACTTTTACACAAAAATTCGAAACTTTTTCTTTTGCCATACCTTTTGGACAGTAGACACCTGGACTTTTATACTTCACATATATATTCTTTGTGATAAGACCTTTCATTGGATACCAACAACTTGACCTTTTGACCTTGACCTTGGATATTTCTGTACTTAATTAAAAAACTCTAACCTAGGCCATAACTTTGAACAGTAAGGAATAGTGCTTTCATACTTCTCAAATGTAATCTTTGTGAAAAAAAACTTTCATTGATACCAAGAACTTTGACCCTTTGACCTTGATCTTGGAGTTTGACTTACTTTTATGAATCAAACCTTGACCATAACTTTTAAAGGGATAGGGCTAGTGCATTCATACTAAATATATTTAATTCATGTGACAAGCCTTTTCTTTGGGTACCACCAAATTTGACACTTTGACCTTGGAGTTTGACCTACTTTTCAAAATTGGTAACCTTGGCCATGACTTTTGAAGGGCTAGGGCTTTCATACTTCACATATGTATTTTTTGTGACAAGACCTTTCATTAGATACCAGTAACCTTGACCTTTTGACCTTGACCTTATAGATTCTTCTCGTTCTTATGAAAAAACTTTAACCTTGGCCATAACTTTTGAACACTAAGGGCTAGTGCTCTCATACTTCACATATGTAATCCTTGTGAGAAGACCCTTCATTGAATACCATGGACTCTGAACCTTTGACCTTGACATTGGAGTTTGACATAATTTAAAAAAAACAAACCTTGATCATTACTTTCGAAGGGTTAGGGCTAGTGCTTTCACACTTTTCATATATAATCCTTGTGACAAGACCTTTTGATATCAAGAATTATGACACTTTGACCTTGGAGTAACTCCTTCATTTCAAAATTGGTAAGCATGGCGATAACTTTTGAAGGGTTAGGGCTAGGGCTTCCATACTTCACATATGTATTCTTTGTGGCAAGACCTTTCATTGGATACCAATTATCTTAACCTTGGAGACTTTCATACCTATGAAAAAACTTTAACCTTGCCTGCTTTCATATTTAACAATTGTATTTCCAGTGATAATACCCTACTTTGGATACACATATATATTAATTTTGCATAAAAGAAAAGTTTAATCTTCACAACGTTGCCATACGGGGGCATCAGTGTTTCACAAACACATTTTGTCTTTGATATAGAAATAATGTGGTTTCACCATACAGAACATTACCTTCATAATCCATGACAATTCTGTCATTCAATGTCATTTCCTTCAATGTGTCATCTGTAGTCCACTTAAGAATAGCCTTTGGATTGGAGTAAGGTGGGTCACAAGTCAGAAGTACATACTGTCCAAGAAGCACAACCTTTGGAGGTCGGTCATTATTATTTTGAAAAGATGAGATGTGTGCCTCAATTAATTCAACCTTCTTGCTCAGTGACAAAGCTTGACTACTAGCACTGCCTGCTCTGCATTGGTAAATCCCATAATCACTCTCTTGCACATGATGAATGTTTAACGTACCTAGTCCATGTTCTTTATAAATGCGTAAAGTATTATTTTTATATGTAACTTCTGTTGAATTAAAATCTATTAATTTTCCATCCTTTATCCAATCATAGCTGAAATTCAAAAGAAGTATGATTTCATCAGATATTTTTTACACAAACTCATTATATTTTTTATTTCTTTTATGCTATGATCACATAAAGCAATACAGAACAGATCTAAGAATCATCAGTCCGTAACTTTTTTGAAACACAAATTTAAAAGACAATGTACAAAAACTTCAAACACTGCAACATTTTGTTGCTATGTTAAAGATGACAAATGTTAATGGGTAGATAATAATCCAAGTCTATTAAAATTACCAACTGAAGGAAAAGTATAAAACCAAATTTATTTCTAACACATTTTCTTAGTAAGATAACACTGAGAAATTATAAACAGTACTGGGGATTGGAGCTGTTAAAATTGATGGTGTGTTTTTAAAAAAAATCATTTGTTAAAAATGTTATACATTAGAAATGTTGTCTTTTTTACATAAATAAAGTCTATACAGTCAAACCTTTATTAAGCAGCCATCTACGGAATGCATTAAAAGTGACCTTTGTAGAGAGGTGACCTTTGGATAGAGGTTCATCCTTTTTAAAGGAATTTATATACAAATATTTCAGTTATGTGTTTAAATTATGTATTTGAGTATAAAATATACAAGAAGACATTAGTGATCTCACTAATTTTTTTTTATTCCATAGATGCATGACTTTTGAGGATGAATTCAAACTATATATATAATAAATCCAAGAAAATTAATAAAATACCTATATGTTGAATCTTACAGGGTGTTGCATTATCCCCATCAAAACAACAATTTTTTTTTTCTGTGTAAGGAATGAATATTTTATGAAATGATTAAAATCAATCAAATATTATCTTATCTAAACTTGATTCATAAAGTTAACCTCTGTATATTTATTTTTTTGTTAAATACATGTACATGAATTCTTGTATAATAAACAGACAAGTCATTGTCTAACTTTGCAGATAATATTACTTTTGGAAAACAATGTGGTGAAATATATTAATTTAGGGAAACTTGATTTTTGCAACATTTAAATATAACATAAAGATTTTGATTTACCCTTAAGATGTTTCATGATCCCGGGGCCGGATAACCGAGGCGCCACAGTTAGTAAATTACCTTAATTTTGGAGTATTTCCACTAGCAACACATTGTAAACGTGTATTCTTTTCTTTTGGTAGGTACACATATACTCGATCTCCAAGTTCTGGGTTCCAACTTCTCATAGGATAAGGTTTAGGACCTGCTGTAATGCTTGGAGGAGAAGGCACTAAAACAAAAATCTTCAAAGTAATGCATTTGTATACTATAGATACACAATATTAAGTTTTGTAAAAAACCAAAACACTGTTCTATAGGAAGTAAGATAAACATGTACATAAATTATTGTATATGCTATTTTTTATTCATCAAGCTTAATTCAATACATTTTTTATATATATTCTATATGGCACTTTGTAATGTGTTACTCTGTCAAATTACGGATATTGATTAAAAAATATGACATTGGTTATTTCCAAAAAAAAAAAAAGGAGTTCATGGACCACATCATTCACCTGAGCAAAATGGCACATGAAAAGTTTACAGGAGGTTGGAAAACTTACTTGAGGTTAAATTATGGCTTAAATTTGCAGTTCTAAAACAAAACATTTTTTTTCTATAGTATATATTCCTTTATGCAATTTAATCCCCTATTGTATCCCCCTACCTATCTTGGGGTTGGGGGGTGGGGGGGTCATAATTTAAACAAACTTCAATCTGCACACCTGAAGATGCTTCAATATTAACACAACTAATCATGGCTCTACTATTCTTGACCAGAAGATTTTTTCCCCATACATTCATATGTAAAACTTTTATCTCCATGTCGCTCCACCTTCAGATTTCTTCATTTAAACAAAATTAAATCTCCACTACCTGAGGATGCTTTACACCTATTCTCACATAATCTGTCCATATGCGCTATTTGGATGTCGCAAGCACTTTAAATTACATTAGTATAAAAATAACTGGTAAATTTTTTAGTATTTTGTTTGTGATATGTCTATAGTTACCAAACCAACATAGTAAAATGTTAATACACAGGTTAAAACCTCCCTGGGATCCAAGTATATAGTCTAAAAAGTGGTTTTTCAGTCTGTCACTCAGGCAAAGGTCAATGTTTGGACCATTGAATAAAACACAGAAATTATATTTTATGTTAAAAGTTATGACTTTTACATGTAACAATGCGTAAATATACTGAATTTTCACACTTTAAAATATTTGTCTACAGTGAAATTAAAAAAAAATGTAAAATGATTATGTCGCAAATTTTTTGTAATTAATGTTATCAAAATACATGTATTATTATTTGTTTAAATAGCATAAAAGGGTATATAAAACATAAAATATCTACTAGAATATCCAACAATGTCCATAAAATGCTATCAGAATCAAAGAAAAGTTATATGACAGAATACTTACAAAAAAACATTGGTCTGGTAACCAGAGGTGAGTGGTTCATTTTAAGGATGTATTTTACGTTATCAACGATACTTCAAGAATATGAGTATAAATGTCTTTGCACATATCAATATATTTATTCTTCTTGATGTACCAAACAAGTAAAATATCAAAACGAGCATTGTTACAACGCACTTTGAAAAATTACGCACTTTGAAAAAAATTTTCAAAGTGCGTTAAAATTTGGGACCAAGCTAACGCACTTTTAAAAAAATAAATTTTTTTCGTGCACTTTGAAAAAAAATGTAAAGATTGATCAATATTCCTTCAAATAATCGGTATGATAAATAACAGATCCTGGTTTGATAACTTTTTAATGATAAAGTCACTGTAGGACCTGAAATATTGACGTTTTAAATATTGAAGGTTTTGATAAAATAAATTAAGGGAAAATTAAAGGGTCTTGAAAAAAAGAGTGATGATTGTTTAAGTTCATTAATTCGTTTCTTCTTTTTTTTAATTCTAGTCTTTGATAAGTAGATGTAAAGGTGTATAGGGGGCACTAACAGAGGACAGCTTCAAGCAACTTAGCATTTATCATAATAAAAAGGGGCTAATTTGATTGTTCAAAACTATGAAAATTCTTTCTCTCTCATAAGTTTTACTGTACTTAAAAATTTCTAGTTTTCATCTGTTTTAATTAACTCATTTATTATTGAAAGTTTTCAACGTCATACCAGTTAGGAAATATATAATTATATGAATGCTTTGAGTATAGCATAGACATTGAAACTGGGCGAAGGGCCAGGGGAGGGGATGGGGGGCTAAGCCCCCCCCCCCACTTATTTTGGAAAGATATATACATCGTATAAGCATTGAAAATGCAGCATACCCTTTTTTAGGTTTATTGCTCCCCTCCCCCCTTTGTTACCGACACCTATGTATTGGAAAGATAAAGATTTGGACTTAGGGATCTTATACCCGTCTTCTCCTCTTTTCGATGGGAGTAAAATCAATTCATTTTTGAGGTTAGGGTTAGGCTTAGTTTTTTGAAAGATAAATAACAAATAAAATCTTTCCATGACTAAAATATGATTTTTTTTTTTTCAAAGTGCGTTAACTGGTAAAATATATTGATGTAAACTCTTAACGCACTTTGAAAAAAATTTTCAAAGTGCGTTGAGTTGGTCCCAAATTTAACACACTTTGAAAAAAATTTTCATAGTGCGTTGATTTTGTCCCAATTTTAATGCACTTTGAAAAATTTTTTCAAAGTGCGTAATTTTTTCAAAGTGCGTTGCCACAGAGCATTTATCTGTGCGAGTAAATATTTTACACAAATAAAACTGATAAAAAGTAATTAACGTTATGTAATTTACGTTATCAGCAGAAAACATACATGCTACGTATCTTGCAAATAAGACGTCGGAACAATATGGAACCATGCAGGAAACGTTATTGATTTTCTCTCGAGAGCATCTTAACATCACCGAACTTCTGATGTAGATCTGGGGCCCGTTTTACAAAAGGACTTATGACTTGAGACCAAATTGAATTCTTCATATAACTTTTTTAATTAACATTTTATTGAAAATTATTTTCTACTTTTTAAAAGGAATGTGGTAAGATATTTTTACACAAACAATTTCAAAGAGAATTATTTATTTTGCAAAATTTTACAACAATATGAAGTTTTTGGTCTTACCTTTTGTAATAAAAGCGCCATCAGATTGTAAATTACAAACCTTTAATAACTTTCAAATATTTCTTTATTGATTCATCAAGAATGCATTTTTGGCGTGACCTTTATTTTAAAAAATAATGTGTACTTCTTTTTATTTGAAGCAATAGTTCACGTCATATAAATCTCTGTTCATTGGGGACTTACTGAAGCAAAACTTTCATAACGTAAATTACAGTAAAAATAACATAAATTAAATATACTTCAAATGCCTTTTTCTGTAATTATATTTCATAAACTTTGTTTAACAGAGATAGTTAAGTCAAAAGAAGAAATTAAAAAGCATATAGGGAGTAAAAGAAGATAAAATAGGGAGAGACTTGACTAGAAAAATAAAGGAAAAAATACACCCTGACAGCAGATTTTACGTTATCATTATATCTAACGGTGAATCTCTTAAAAGGATGAAAAATTATCATTATTTGTGGCATTTTATGGGGGTTTTAAAATAATGTAATTCATTTAGATGGGTGGAAATAAGTTCGAGAAAATATTAATTTTTACTTTGCAATAGCAATGAAATTGTAATTTACATTATCAATATATTTCTTTAAGAGAAATGATTGAGAATTTTCTCAGTTTCTTAGCAAAGTAAATTTTCTAATCCTTTTTTCTTCAGGATTCAAAAACATGAAATTCAGTTTAAAAATTTCTTGCGAAAAAGAACAGAATTATTTCAGTTCAAAAATAAGAATAAAGCAAACAAGATTTGTTAATTACAAATTAAGAGAAAAACACTGGCATAAAAACAAAATTTTTGTAATATTTTTAGTACACACATAGTTCTAAAAAAAACTCAGATAAATTTAACATTCATTTTGGCAATAAAAAGACTTTTTTAGGGGGTCAAATCGACCTCAGAAAATAACGTTAATTACAAAGGAAAATACTATACCTATATTACTTTATTCAATATTTTTTTTATCGTGCATAGTTAGGTTCTGATATTTTAAAAAAATAATTCACCATTGTTTTGTTTGCTTTTAAAAAAACATCGACTTCTCCCCAAAATAATGACTTTATTTTTTTTATGAAAGTCAGGCTGCATCAGTGGACGGATTATGTGAATATAGGTGTTTCATATCATGGATTAGCTGTCTGAGAAACATTTTTCCGATGAAAAACTGATCCCCCATTGTAGCCCAACCATAACCCTAAACTATAAGGTAGGGGTTCAATATTTTATAAGGGGGTTCAAGATATCACAGCAAAAAGTGAACTCGGTTCAAATTATTATGCGATATTTTGAACCCGGGTTCAATATATCGCAGTATCAAAATATTATGCTACACCGGTTTTTTCATCTATTTAAACTAAGCAAATTTACTTTTGATCTCTTTTTCTCAAATCAAGACCTAGGTCCCATTGCACATATTTCATTGTTTTTTACTCTCTATCTCATGAGGTTTTGATTGCAATAAAGCATAAAATTTAAGCATCTTGGAATATAAGCAACAACTGTATTTTTAAAACTTCAAGAGAATTCCTGAATGTTCAAAAACTTTAAATAGTAACCTTGTATTTACATAAAACAGGGAAAACTTCATGTCTTATAATAACTCAATTAAATGTGTACAGGTAAATATCAGTATCTCGAACATGGGATATCTCGAATACCCCGCTTATATGGAAGTCGATAGCCGGTACCGGCCATTTTCTCTCTATATATGATTTAAAAAACAACTGATATCTTGAACACGGTAATCTCGAAATACCCGCTTATGTCAAAGTATATTCAAAGTCCCAAGCCCTTTTTACCTAGCTTATCTCGAAGTGCAGTGAATTTTTCGGTCTACTGAACACACCTGGCATCGTGACTTCACACACTCTTGCCAGTGGCTATAAATCAATACCTTCAAACTTGGGCAATCTTAATTAATCCCAAGCTCATGTTGGTTTATCTGTGACAGGTTAGTTGGTATGACAGCTTGCGTGTTTGGTGTAGTCTACCACCCATAAAACAAACCACTTCGCAGTGACTGATAAATAAATAACCTTGACCGCCATTTGCATTGTTAGTTTCATAAACTATATGTTCCTTAGTAGTACTTCGTAATGTAATATATGTAAGCTATTAATAATAT